TATATTTGAAATTACATTTCTCCCTCTCTCTCTCTCTCTCTATATATATATATATATATATGTGTGTGTGTGTGTGTGTAATTTGTAGCTGTTTTCATTGACATGGAATGCATCTATCTATTATGTATATATGGGTATGTATGGTATGTAAGGTTCATTTCTTATAAATAACGAAATTCTATGTAAGCTAAGACTAATTAATCAGAGAGATAATATCTTAAGGTCTGTCTTTCACCGTCACGGGCACTATCGTGTGAACTGGGGATTCTGTACCACTATAAAAAAAGATATTTCCTTTATAACTTCTCAACGTTTACCAGTTTCAAGTTTCATAAAAGTAATGAAATATTAACATATGTTTTCATTAGCTTTTTATTATTATCTCAAAATGAAGCTGGTACTTATTATAACTTCGTGATTAGCATTCACATTTTCTTCTTCCGTGAGTTACAATGTTTGAAGAGTATACAAGTGGAACATTTATACATCCAGAGGGTGTAGTAATTTCTCGAACAATTGCCATTGCAATTTAATGATAACATGTTTCACAACTGCCTCAATTCTTATAAATGCTAAACAGAATGGTTCCATTGAAACGGTGCCAGAAAGGACGTAAACTCGTTTACATGATTATCCAATAGCTAGAGACAGAAAATTGTGAATCGCCTTCAGAGTGGTAAGCATAGACAGGACAGGATGCAAGACAAAGTTTTTCCACTGGCTTGCCAAAAAAGAAACCAAAACCCTATAAACTGCTGTCTGGGAACTGAGGCAGTAATCTGACGAACTTTATAATCACTGTCGTTTTTATTCGTCTTGATGCTGTTTCTCAGCCTCTGAAAACTTGTGCATTTGTGTGTTTTTTTTCTACTCATCCAGTCAAGGTCATTGTGGAAGAGGAGAGGCTCCTACTTTTAGTGTTCATAGAATGTGCACAATGAGCCACAGTAGCCTGTAGTGGTAGTCTAATCACACATTCCTTCATTGTCTACTGCACCATTACAAAGCGACTGGAAAGGGCTGGGGACGTGCCCCACCTAGACCCTTGAGGTGGGGTCACGGAGAGACCAAAACAGTGCACCCCCACACTATGCACGATAAGCAGCCGTCATTCGAAACATCCGCAGGAAGGCGAGCTATTTCGGCAGCTTTTAATGTAGATTTCTTCTCACTGGGTTTATTTTTCTTCATTGTAAAGTCTTCTCCCCTAATGTTCTTTATCCGGTGGCAGCGATCGGTTTACAGATTGTCCTGCTGAGCCACGTACTCATCTCGATGTCCTTGGGATCCTTCATACCAACACATCCTCACCCACTGTGTCTCAGACTAATTTTAAACCTAATCAGCACTTCACAATCTTTGTTCATTCTATTATAATACATTAATATAAATAAAACTTGCTGATCTAATATTATATGTTGTTGTTGTTATTTTCTATTGATTTAGTCTGAGAAAATGTATTAACAAAATCCGTAAATAGCACTTTAAGGGTCACCAACTAATCCGCTTTTCTCAGATTTTTCAGATTTCAGGATTACTTAAAAGTAAAAGTAGTATTCGAATGTTAGTGCATGCGCATTATGTGTTTGTTTTTACTCTATACATTCTGGAAGTCACTCCCTCAGTGGCACAGCGGTATGTCTGCGGACTTACAACACTAGAAACCGGGTTTCGATACCTGTGGTAGGCCGAGCACATATAGCCCATTGTGTAGTTTTGTGCTTAATTACAAACAACAACAAAATTCCGAAAGTTTATTTCAGCAATAAACATTTTCAAAGCTTAAGCTCATGTTTACCAATATTTAATAAAGACACAAAGTGGAAAAAAAAAGTTGGTTTCAGATTAATTAAAACACACACAAAGAAACGTCGTTGTTGACACATTATGTGTATTGAAGATAAAACGTACACGTATACATCGCAAACTCTTACAGGTGGCGACGACAACGTAACTTAGACAGCTTGACTGCAGTAGTAACATGTATATATAGGTGCGGCAGTATGTTGTACATTACATTCCTCTAAGACTATACCTAGTCAATATTATCACTTTTCTGAATATCTTCGCTATCAGTAGGTTACATACTTGATTTGTTTATTTATTACTTAAGTAAGTGGATTTTCTATGTCTTATTTCATCTAATACCAACAAAGTTCTAGAACAAGTGCGTATCCGGCACTCTTTCTCATAACTTTCTTTGTCAAAACAGACATAATTTTGAAGCATTCCTACGAAACATTTTTTTTTAGCAATAAATACAAAACTAACACCATAGAATATTAATCCTATTGCCTGCCAGTTTGTAAGTATTAGTTTCTGACATTTAGATAGTATTGCCCTTTCTGTTGCTAAAAGCACTAATAACGTTTCTATCTATTTATAATTAGTCTTTAAGAATGTTCGAAATATGTTAAAGCGAAGTCCAATTTATCTTTTAAGGAAACATCTAGGCATTGAAGGAGCAACAGATTGCTAGTGGATTACCCCATCCATCATTTAAAAAAATCTCATGGGGTATAGAGTTCGAAACGTCGTCATTAAAAACATCTCAATCAGTTTCTACCCATAAACAAAGTTTGTGAAATTAAGCTCTCGTTGCTTTATTAAAATAGTAAATAGTTTGGGAAATTCTACAAGAAAATCTTTTTATAATGAAACTTAGTTGAATGGACGGCAACTGCCTGTTGTAGAAACACAAGTGTTATATACACTTGTGTTTCCTCAACAGGCAGTTGCCGTTCATTTAACTAAGTTTCATCATGAATACTCTGCCTAAACAATCTATCAAAGAAAAATCTTTTTATTTCATTAAAAGTTTACGAATTTGTATTGAACTAACACATGGTATATCGATAAACTAAGATATCGGGGAATTAACTTATAAAGTAATGTAAGAAAAAAAAGCTGATAATGCAAATCTTACATCAGGTTCCAAGTGTTTCTACCGTGGATTTTGAAGAGTATCAATCCTGGTTAGAACAGATGGTTGCAGTATGAGCTTTTCCCACGATTCTTTGTAATTTTCGCTATCAGACATAATACACGAAATTGAATTCTGATCATAAAAAAAGAACAAGAAACCATCTGAGATTAGGCTCTGATCAGGGTGCATCTTCCTAACATAGTGCTGAACCACAGAAAATTGTTAGCTAAGTGCTGGCAAGTATTTTTCTTGAACATTCAACAATGACAACAGCACCATTAATCACTGGATATAAACACAGTAATAAACACCCCCATTTATCTTAGTAATTAGCATTTCTGTCCCTTCGAGCTATTTTGAACGTATTAGTAACATTAACCTGCATTTAATAACATACTGTATATAGTTTTAAAGTTTATAGATTGCACGTTTCTTGTCACTGCACTTTTACTACTTTTTTGATAATCGTTGATATATTGCAATTTTTATATTCTATATCCCATTATGTTGATATTCATTTTACGAATATTTATTAGAAATATTGGTCATAAAATAAAACTTTTATAATATATATATATATATATATACGTTATTTACCTTCTACGTTTCTAGATATAAAATAAGCTGATAAGTGATAGTATTTGAATCCTCGTGTAATTTTTAAGTATGTTGTCTTGTTAGCGATCGATAAATAAGTAACAGATGCGTTTATCTTTTTCGCTCTTAGGATTGTCTTCGCCACTGTTTGGAACAAGTTGAAGAAATGGTTAGTTCAAATTTATCGTCAACAAGCGGAGCTCAAGTGGTGCCCTCTGCCATGAAAGACTCAAATAAACTAATGAATATTGCGGATTTTGAGAGTACTAAACCCCCTACACCAACAGATCTTCAAGATGTCCATTTCTAATGCTATAATGGGAGTGTAAACTGTCGTATACCATACAGTGTTTGACAGAGTTGTTTAAAATACCCATCAGCACATCAAGTCCTAGTCATTATGCATATATTTGGGGACAGTAATAATGCAGCATCACTCGTTGCTGGGATTTTTACGATTGTACTGTACTCTAGATATTCAAAACTATTGGACAACGACCATTGAACTCATATTTTGAAACAATAGTGTTTTTTTAAGTACCTCGGAACAACTCGAGCAATATCCAAAATTTGTACATTTAGAGCATTCCAAGGATGTGTATTCCATGCTGTAAAGTACTTTAGAAAAACTGGAACATATTTTTTACAGACACAGCTCTTAGTTTTTAGTGCAACAAAATTTAATATTGTATGAGAAAAAAGTGAGAGGGAGAGCAAAAGAGAAAGGCCGAGACAGAACCATTATTTTTACCTCCATGTGATAACTAATATTTGTGGGAAGAAATGACAATATATTGGAATATTATTAATGTCATCGCAGTTCAAAAAGTGTATCAATGTTTTATTCTTTATTCTTTTGTATGCAAAACTTGTGATATTCCTGTGCTAGACTCTTACTTTAATATTAAATTGTACTTAAGTTGAACCTTTGGAATAATTTTCCTGTTTTGATTTGTATAAGCATCTTCGTATGAAGTTCTGATACTGTGCTTGACGTTTTTGTTTACGATGCTTGGTTTCATGACAAGTAAGAATAAGTTAAGATACGTATAGGACAGTAATTATTATCACAATAATTACTCATTCGTAAAGATCGTTATATCCGAGTCATAGGTGTAAGGAAGCCGCCACAACCATCTTGATTACTTCAATCTTAGTGTGGAAAAGAATGAGTTAGTAACTAGGATTTTGTAACTTACTAAAGTGTGTAATTGAATAGACACAATAGATTAGTTAAAATATACGGCTTGTTCTGTAAGAACCTTGACTTAGAACTACGTGTTTATAAATACTGATGAACAGTGATTATTTCCAGGTAATCAATGATGTTTTTGTTTGTCATGAACGCATCAACTTTCCATGATTCGATAACGAGGAACCCACTT